GGAATTTGCCTTCTCACGAAGAATTCAATTTACCAGAAATATCCACTTGTGGGGTGTTTACAAGGAAATGTGCCACTTAGCTTTATTCTAAATTTATTTAAATAACTGAACAAAACCAAAAGAAATGCTTCACAAAATTGCTCAATGCAGTGCTCACTACTGGTTTTCATTTCTATCTTACGGCATGTGATTTCGTTTAATTGGAAACATACTTAAATTTATAGCTAAAATGACTTCAGTGTATGAATTCAATAGAAGAAATGTGAAAAAATGCTTTACAAAAGTGAGTAGATATTAGGTGTCAGTTGTAAAACTATAAATATTCTGTAATGTCTTTAATTTTATGATAGTTAAATTGTTTACTTGGGTATTATGTCTATGCTTTTGACGGTTACATGTTTTGGAAATCAAAAACAATCAAATAGCTCAGTTAAAAACCTAACTTTGAGAAATCAGAGACAAGTTTTGTGTTTCTGAACGTCTTTAAGCACATCCAAGTGGGAACGGTTTCATTATTAAAACATAATTTTCTTTAACTAAAAAGGTTATTTTTTTGATTCCAATCTTCTGACTCATTTGTGATTGCCACCTTTTGTTGCTGATCAGAACTCCTTTACTTTGGAGAAAATGCAAAAGGAGAAAAAAGGTCTGATTGGAGATCATGCTTATTATAAGTAAAAATTCTTTGTCACACAAACTCTGCTATGCACGTGTTGGATATACTTAATAAAACATTTATTCTAAATCTATGCCACAAAACTGTCTGAATCAGAACCACTATTTAAAAAAAAATCACTCAGACTAATTTAGTCAATTAGTTTCAATAATTGCTCTCATAACAAAAACACTACGGAGAAAACTTGGGGATCCTGGAGGAAAAAAAAAAAGAACTTCATTAAAATAAAGCCACTGATATCATTACATTTTAAACGAATTTTGCAAGTAGACTGTAGAGAAAACTGTACAACTTTTGCAACTGACCTAAAAAATTTTTAAGACTGTTATAACAGTTAAGGCTTTTGTAACCATCTCTAAAGTACAAAATTTTCCTTTATTTAAAATACTTTGCTTGAAGGGAAGTAGAATAATATTAAATCATTTTCATAGAAGATTCTAAAAATATTCTTTAATTTTGAAACCATATCTTAAATACTTAGAACACACGTATGACACCAGGGCTATCCTTAATTAGTTATAATTGAGGTTTTTGATTAGTTCTTATTAAAACTGGTTTTACTAATTATGTGTAAAATTAAATTTTGTTACAGATTTACATATGGAAAAGTAACCAACTACGTAAAATTAAAAAAAAAAAAAAGTCTTTCTCCCGGTTCCGTTGGCTCATGTGACATAAATTTGCCTGTGGATGAAAGGTTCATGTCTTTAAGCAATAGCAGGGGAAAACTCCGTTTTCGTTTAAAAATAAAATGGCTGTTCTAGATCAATAAAGAAAAATATGTTTGCTATATTAGGATGTTCATTAGGATTCAGTTTTCTATTTGGATGCCACATTAACTGGATGAGATACATCCTAGCAGAGGGAGCTTACTTTTAAGACCCTGTTAGCAAAAATGTCTACATTCAATGCAGTAAAATAACTTATTACCTATTATAAGAGTAGATGCTAGAACAACTTTGTTTCTGACAGATCACTATTCATAGGTTTAGATGCATTTAATGTGGTAAACAATTGTCTGCTTTTATGTCTTAACCTTGGTGTGTTCCTTAGTTTCTGCTGAGTGACCTTTACTAGCCCTTGTTGTAAAACCAGGGCCCATAATCACTAGCAGAGAGAGAGGGAGACCGAGAGAGACAGAGGGGGAGAGGGAGAAAGAGAGGGGAGATTAAGATGGAAAATTTCCAGTGTTTCTACTACGCATGTTCAGTGGTCCAATTACAGATCCACTGGAGAATGCAGTTCAGTCAGAAAAGAGAGCTCATATTAATGTTTGGATGGCCTTAAGATTTAGCTTTCCTGGGGAAGAAAGATGCTAAAACTGTGCATAAATAGCTCTAGCCTTCTATGAAGAGATTTAGGAAACTTTCTCTACCTACGAGCTGGACTAGCCAGTTATCAGATCGTGGCAACTCTATTTGCCAAATGTGTACAGCTGGAACTCGCCATCATCAATCTGTTTGAAGAAAATGAAATGCTTGTTCTTTCGTGGCGAGGGGAGGAAGATTAAGAGATAACATTTTGACTCAAAGAAATGGTGATAACCTACTACAAACAATAAAAGATAGCAGTCTGGCCTTTTCACCCACATCAGTCTTTGCACACTGCAACTTTCTCATCAAAGCTTAATTACCGCCGGGCCTCGGCAGAGCGGGGCTGTAACTTAGTGTTCCCTTTCAAGAGCAAAGGGAAGTTATTTCCTACAATAAGAAAACCAGTAAAAACATATGCTTATTTATTTGAATACAGTACATAAAGATGTCTCTCTAATGGTTTGAATGCACAAGCAAAGGAGGAATGGTGACGTAATAATAGGTGTAACCAAAAGAGGGCACCATCTCCCCTCAAAGTCGGCACAGAGTTCTTGTGGTTGGAAGAAGAAAATACCAAGAAAACCCTGAAACCCCTCAACCGACCGAGGAAGGGCATCCGATGGCCTCCGGCATTTTGTCTTCTACAAGGAGACCCAATTCTGAAATCGCACATTACGAGGACCATTAGTCTGGTTATTTACTTCAGGACAGATTTCTACACGTAGCACTCATATTCCTTGACATGTTAACCATTAGATGCAAGTCTGTGACATTCACTTGTGACACTTTTCACAGACACTCTGAGTTTCATATTTTCTAGGACCCTGAGAAAATTTCCACTTGGGCCAGGATACAGGCTGTCATCAAACAGCTCGAGAGTAAGACGACAGTCAACTTCCTAATGGTATCTTAACTCCAAGGGGTTATCTAGAATGATGGTAGATAGGGAACGGTGGCAGGAAGAGCTCCTGAGCACATGGAGGGTGCAGTTAAATGCATTTGAGGTATGTGGGAAATGATTTGAAGCAGGATTTTATGCCAACTTTTAGTAACAGAAGCCTAACAAATGTTCATTCTTTCAAGTGAGAAAAAAAAAAGAAGTTCAGACACTGTTCATAAATTTATTTTCTGTATCCTTCAACAGGTTTTAGAACAAATGCACGATTTAAATAGCCAGGTAAGGGTTTGGCGGCCTCACCGTGCTCCCCTCCCTTGTATACGGCCAATTTCTTCAGGGTGATGGGGAAGGAAAGTTCTAGGCCCTTAAGTGCAATTGCCAAACTGCTCTCTAGAAATTCATGATACAGGAGAACACATGCTTCTTGAATCACGGAGTTTAGCAGTAAAACCAGAGAGACTGGGGACGAGTATTTGACTTTGTAGTACAGACAGCTGTTTAGGAGGAGGACATGTGAATTCGTAGAGAACGACTCCTTAAGGACAGCAGATTTCCATCACTGTAAAAATATCAGGACACCGGGCAATAAGTGCAATGGAAGGGAAACGTGGTGGGGAAATAGATAATTTTATAATCCTTTCTGATAAGGAAAGCAGCCAAAATAGTTTTGTGGTAGGCGAGGAAAATCTAGCAGGGTAATCCCTCTCTTTCAATGCAAAATCAAAGCGAGTAAACAAGAATCTTTTTTCCTTCCTCACTCCGTCTCTAGAAAAAGAATCACTATCTAGTGCAAAGCGTTGTGCAAGCCTCTTCATGTTTCTTGCCTCCAGAAAACGACTAAACAGAGGAAGACAGTTCACAAACATCCCAACTCTCTCCTGCCAAGGTACATCAGAGAAGCCGAAACTGGGATTGCGTGGGTTTGGGGTGGGCTCACCGCGGTGCCTCACATGAAAACCTCAACGGGTGACCTTGTGCCCCCTTTCCCGAGTAGCCCCGACCCTGGTCTCTCTGCCCGAAGGGGGCGAGCCCCAGATTCTCCATAGGGGAGGGAGAGTTGTCGCCTTCTTCCCCAAGAATCGAGTTCCCTCTGGGCCACCTCATCCACCCAACCACCTGTTACCCTCCGGGCCTGGATTTTCCAGAGAGCGAGCCCCAGATTCTCCATAGGGGAGGGAGAGTTGTCGCCTTCTTCCCCAAGAATCGAGCTCCCTCTGGGCCACCTCATCCACCCAACCACCTGTTACCCTCCGGGCCTGGATTTTCCAGAGACAAAATTATGAAAAGAGCCGCTGCCTCGTCTCCGCGGTTGGGGCTTTGTGGGGAGGACCCCTGAGGGATGACAGAGAGCTTCAGGTCTCCACTTGGGTGTTGGCGTCGCTGTTTACCCGCCCCGCCGCCTTCAGCCCACTTCCCTTTTCCTCCCCGGGAGGAGGAGATGGTTAAAGATTACACCGTGGCTGCGGGCACTTCAAAGGGCGGCTCGGGCAGCCAAAGGTAAAGATAACGTTCTGGCAGCTCTAATCGGGGTTTGTGGTTGCCACACTTTAATCACTTCATTAAAAAAAAAATAAAAGAGAAAGAAGCAAATAATAGCAAAAGTCTACATCACGCGACCGTGCAAGGGATGCAGAGTAAGGTCCTTTGGGGCTAGACAAGTTGGAATTCTCCTTTGGGGGAAACTTTTCACAGCCCATCTCTACGTGGAACGCGTCAGGACAGGACGCGGAGGGGAGGCTGGGGCAGGGACCAGCTGGGCAGGCCGCCCTTGGGTTCCAGTCTCAGCGAGCCAAATGCCTGCATTGGAGGCAAATGCCTGCACTCGGAGGAATTCGCGCTGCGACCTGCCTAGAGCTGGACCGCGAAGCTGCGGCGCGCCAGCGCTTTCCCGGGGTTGCCCTTGAAGTCGATTCTCTGCGGGCCCAGAAAGTGCGGGCCCGTGCTCCCCTGAGGCACGTGCGTCTCCCAGGGGCCCAAACACGCCTGGCCAAGCCCCCTTTGCAAACTCTCCCGCCCCCTCCAGAGCAAGCGGGAGCCGAGGAGCCCCCAGCTGGGGCCAGCCTTCCCTCCCTCCCTCGGCCCCCTTCCCAGAGAGGAGCGGGGGCGCACTTACAGGTAGGAGGTGAAGACGCTGAGGTTGGAGGGCAGCTCCGAAAGCCCCAGGTCCGAACAGTCCACCCTGAGCAGCATCCTGCCGTCCGGCTCGCACTGACAGTGAGCGGGGCAGCCCCGCAGCAGCGCGCCCTGCCTGGGC